TGATCTTGGCTCACTGTAAGCTCTGCCTCCTGGGTTCAAATGATTCTCCTGCCTCAGCCTCCCTAGTAGCTAGGATTATAGGCATGTACCACCATACTCAGCTAATTTTTGTTTTTTAGTAGAGACAGGGTTTCACTATGTTGGCTAGGCTGGTGTAGAGCTCCTGATCTCAGGTGATCCACCCGTCTCAACCTCCCAAAGTGCTTAGATTACAGACATGAGCCACCATGACTGGTTTTTATCTAACTTTTAACATAGACCTAGGAATAGAGTGTATAACCATTCCATGAGTTTCTTGCCTTGAAAAAAATAAAAACAAACAAAAATATCTAGGGGAATAAAAATTGAAGTTCTTTGTATTAAGACAGCAAGGAAGGAAGGAAGAAAGGAGAAAGAAGGGAGGAAGGGAGAGAAAGGAAGGAAGGGAAAGGAAGAAAGAGAAAAAGAGAAAGAGAAAGAAAAAGAAGAAAAGAAAGAAAGAACTAAATAATTATGTTCTCTTCCTGAAAAGATATTTGAGGTCAACAACTTAGAAAATACAACATTATAGTTCCAGAGTATTACTTAAGAAAGCAGCATAAAATTATTTTACCTTTTTACTACATCTATTGAAGATAATGGAGAAACAGATATCCTGGATTTGCTAGTTACTAAGATTTAGTTCCCAGGAAAAAAATATATTAGAAACTATGCCAACATTTTGTATCATGCAACAGGTAGACTTAGACTTTATTCCTGTTCAATATTTCTTATTTTCAACAATTAATCCCAGCTTTATTTTATCAGATTGATGTAATCACTGTATGAGAATTTAATAGATATTACACTTGGTCAAAAGTTAAAAATGATTTCACAATTGCATGCCCAAGAATTCGTGTCATTCTAGACAGAATCATGGGTAAACAAGAAGATAGTGGTAAGTGATCTACCCAGTGCAAGAAGAGTAATGGATGTAAGAAGATGTTTATATTTTCAAAACAGTGAAAAGTCATCAATGTCTTCTGCAAACCATTAGTAAATTATTTAAAAAAAAAATTTATTACAAAATTTTTAAAATAGGGTTTAAAAATAATTACAGAGGGCATAAAATGCCTTTGCAACAGAAAAAATAACAAACATTACCAATAATAGATCAAATTTACCATATGTGACTTCTAGTGAAACACATTGACCAGGGTCCAACACCAGCTCTGTAGCATTATTAGAGAAGGATGAATTATATCACAAAAGTAGCTGACTTGGATTCTTCAAGGTTCAATACATAATCTTTTTTAAAGCAGGGCACTACTTAAGATGAAAAGAGAGTAAAGTTATAACAGTCAGCTTATAGCATGTGATCCTTAATTGAATTTTGGCTCAACACAAGAATTAAATAGCTATAAAAAACATTCCCAGGACAACAGAGGCAGCTTTATAATGGACTGTATATTAGATA